TGGATGCTTCAGTGGCTTTCTTATTTCTAAGAAATAACCCAAATATGGATTTCACCCCACGGAGCTCCCAAGGGCTCCTGAAGGAGGCCCCGTGTCCCCCCACCCCCCTCCCGGGTGGAATGAGGAGGGACACACACACACACACACACACACACACACACACACGGTCTAGATTGGAAGAGGGGTCCCTTCATTACCCAGCGGGGCCCACAGGGTTTTGATTAGAGGAGAATTAAGAGACAGTAAAGGCAGAGATTCATCTGCATATCGTCAACACATGCACACACACGTGTGCATCCTGTGCACACAGGCACACGTGTGCACACATACATACACACGTGTGCACACATGCACAGATGCACACGCACATACATGCATGCGCACACAGGCACCCACTCACAGGAGGCCCGCTCCCCGTTGTTCCTGGTGTTGATGTCGCCTTTGCCCTGGCGCCCCTTGGCCCCGGTCATCTCCTCCATGCGGTAGATCTCGGACACGCACAGCTTGGGGTTGAAGGCGAAGTACATCTTCCCGGACTTGATGGTCAGGTTGTGGTGGTCCCAGTCCCACAGCTGCTGCAGGTTCTGGTTGTCCAGGACGTAGAAGGAGTAGTTCCTGCCAACACAGCGGGTGTATTCACGTTGATACGGAGCCCTGGCCGGGGTTGCTATGTGGTTAGGGTGTCGGCGCGCAGACCAAAGGGTCTCGGGCCCTGTTCCCAGTCACGGGTACATACCTGGGGTGTAGGTTCCATCCCCGGCCCGGGTTCTGGGCGGGTGTGGAGGCAACCAGTGGATATGTCTCTCTCATCATTGATGTTTCTCTCTCTCCCCCCTCCCCCTTACCCTTCCTGTCTGAAATCAGTAAAAATAAATTTAAAAAGCATCCGGAACCAGGAGTCTGACGCGCGAGCCACAGGCACGCGGAAAGGCTGTGTGTGGGGTGACCCTCTCTGAGAAGCAAGGTGACCTTTTCGCCGCGAACACAAAGGCTGTTTACGGCACGGAGAAGGCGGGGAACTGGATCCCAGGAGCCATAAAACCCAGGCATACGGAGCCGGCGTAAGGGACAGAGAAACAACACCGAAACCCCTGTCCAGTCAGTTACTCAGTAAGTGCCATTTCCTCATTGTTTCCAAGGCTCACTGCCTTTACATCCAAAGACAATATTAAAAAAAAATATTTTTATTAATTTCAGAGAGGAAGGCACACAAAGGCTGTTTACTGCATGGAGAAGGCGGGGGGACCGGATCCCAGGAGCCATAAAACCCAGGCCTACGGAGCCAGCGTAAGGGACAGAGACACACCACCGAAACCCCTGCCACCTCATCATCAGGCCGCTCCTAAGCTGCTTGGCAATACCGCTATGTTTCTCAGCCCCGGCGTGGGGCCCGGCTTCCCCCAAACCCCTCCCATGAGAGGAGAATTCAGAGACAGTAAAGGCAGAGACTCGCCTGCACATCTTTAACACACGTGTGCACGTGCACACGCACACATGCACGCACACATGCGCGTGCACACACACATGCACACAGGTGGTTTTTTTCATTGTTTCCTGGAGGAAGTGGCTATCCAGTCAGTTACTCAGTAAGTGCGATTTCCTCATTGTTTCCAAGGCTCATTGCCTTTACATCCAAAGACTATATTTAAAAAATATATATTTTTATTGATTTCAGAGAGGAAAGGAGAGGGAGAGAAACATCAAGGATGAGAGAGAATCACGGATTGGCTGCCTCCTGCACGCCCCCTTCTGGGGATCGAGCCACAGTGCAACCTGGGCATGTGCCCTGACCGGGAATCGAACCCGGGACCTCCTGGGTCATAGGTTGACGCTCTAACCGTTGAGCTACACCGGAACGCAGAACCCTCCAAGCGCACAGCCGACCCTGGGCCGCGCACGCATGCGCGCAGGAAGCACTCACCCCTCCAGCTGGTCCTCGCCTAGGATCTGGCGGAGGCTTTTGAAGAAGGACAGGGAGACCAGCGCGTGGGAGTGGCGGATCTTGATGTAGCCCGTGACCACCTCGATGAGCCCCATGAAGTTCTCCAGTTCCGAGGCGATGTTATCTGCGGGAAGGGGGCGCCGCGTCACCCAGCTCTCGCTCAGAGCAAGGGGGAGCACCCCGTTCCCACTCACAGGCAAGCGACACCGTGGCAGGGCCTGCTCTGGGGGTGACTCTGAGATGCTCAGGCTGCTGGTG